TAATAGCCTAATTAGCTTTACAGTTTTAGTCCGTTATTATTGATATATAATTAATGAATTTGTGATTTTAAGTGTCTTGTTTTCAGAATTTGTTTTGAAGATTTAACGATCATAAAGAACTTGTTGTCCAAATTTTCTTAGAAATCAACGCACTACTAGTTTTGTGTCATTTCTGCTCTACTATACCGCCATCTAGTTTTGTATAATCACTTTTACCAAAAATTATGAAGTAACTATTTTTGTTATTTCTTATAAAAACAGTAACGTTATCTATGTATGTGCCACGATGTTTTACAACCATTTTTTAACTATTTAGATTATCTATTATCATTTTTTTCTTTAAAAAAAGACCTTATAACTTTATATCGACAGCATATGCGATGCGAACATTCGACAACGTGTACATTTAGGAATCACAACGAATGAGTAGATAAAAAGTGGGATCACCTTGGCACAAATATTTCCGATTGACTTTTATATAGTGGAAGTCAAAATCACTACGACCCATATAAAATAAATGAGATTGACATACATATAATATAAGATACACAATGTATGTAGGTTTTGTTAAAAAAAAAACAAAAGACAATGTATGTAGTATATAGGATGGGTGTGAATCGCACCTGAAACATGTTCTCATCATTCAAATATGGATACTATAGTTTATTTAACTCATAGGATAGTTTGTTTTACAATATCAATACCTTACCGGAACAGCATCTTTTTACTTTACACAAATATAATTACATGAATTTCGAAAAAGTAATTTTAGTCAAATTATTGTTTAACGGTACATTTATACGGCCTTTTCTACCGGAATTCAACAGTTTGCTTTACAAATATCTAGATCTTCTACGATATGGACAACATGTTGATACATATATTCAAACAATATTTTGGATAAATATAAGTGAAACAGTATGCAGATAAAATATGATTTAATAAAGTGTTACATATCATGGAGAGGAAGTTAGTGGCATACCGAACACATGCAAAATAATAAGAAAGATGTAGGCCACTTTCACTCAATTATAATGTATTATGGAAGAACAAATGAAATTTTAATAATGGAGGAAAAGAATATATAACTGAACTTTCTTGGATATGCATATTTGTATGAATTAAGATATTATTATCAATGGAGAGATATGGGTACGCGTGTGACTTTGTCTCCAAATATTTTCTTATGGCAGACTGGCAAATTATTAGACCGTTTCTACAAACTTTACTGGTGAAAAAACAACCCATGAGAACTATATAAAAAAGTTCCCTATCAAATAACATTCATGATTGCTACGTTCAGTTTTCAGAAATCGTTTAAAGAATTATAGATTAAAAACACTTAGGAGTTAAAGAACTCAAAACAGAAGAAATCAAGTTAAACTGAACACATTCTCTTTTTCCGCTAGCAAATCAACGGGAATGTAAAATCTGGTTTTCAGTTGTATAATATTGGTTAATTTTCTAGAATTTTGTGGTTTAGTTATAGCAAGTTTTAAACATAAGTGGATACACTACAAAAAAATAAGTATATTGTATCACTTAAATTGAATCACAAAACTAAATGATATTATTTTATATTACTTATATATAAATGAAGCAAATATATATGGTTTAGCATCAATTATATTAACTGATGTTATAATTAATTAATTTTACATCAATTAAATAAAATTGATTTAATTTCTATTGGTTTGTATCATTTTTAAAAAAATGATATAAAATATAAATTTATATCATTTAGATAACTGATGTATTTATTAATTTTTGATGAGATCACTTCTGAAAATGATACAAAAATTTACATCAATAAAAATTGATGTTAAAATAAATTTAATAAATATTTAATTTTTAGAGAAGAAGGTAACGTAAGAAAAAAAAAAGCAATAGTGAAAACTTTTCATTGGCTAGTCCATAATAACTAGGATTGAACTTTGGTTTGTTATCCACCATTGATAAATTAAATTCAATGGTTGAGATCTTCTCCTTTATTTATTTTTTTTTTGTTAAAACTTCTCCTCTTTTCTTATTTTTTTTTCTCCTTCTCTTTCTCCTTCGTAACCTCTTCTCCTTCATAACCTCTTCTCCTTCATCTAGTTTCACCATAGAAGTTGTGTGGTGATTAGGGTCGGCGTGTTTGACGAATACATCTCCGACGACGACAAATCGTGGTAGATCCGGTGAAACGAGATGGAGCGAGGGCTGAAAAAATGACGAGGAAGTGTTTTTCATAGTTTGGTACGTACATGTGGTTCTTCGACGAGGACAATGGAGGACGTGATGGTGGGCTTTTGTTGAGCCACTTCAGAAGGCTTTTATGTCTAGCTTCGCGACGGAGTTGGCATGCGGATCTGTGGGTTTCGCTGCACGTCAAGAGAAGGTAGAAGGCTAGAAGCCATGGAAGGTGGCCGACGTAGGCAGCGGTGACGACATAACAACTACCAAGCTAGGGTTTTTGGTTTGGTTGGTTTGATCCGGTTAACACATTACATTGTAAACCAACTCTCATTATGTAAACCGGAACAAACCCGGTTTGGGAAGATTAATGAAAAATAAATAAACTGTCTTTTATTTAATCTAATTTAATAAAAACATTTTATTTTAAATCAATTCGTTAATTACTAGTAAATCGCACAATTGATTAATTATGTAATTTCTTTTAAAAATATATTTATTATTAATTATAGTAAATATATTCGTAATTGATCAATTATTTTGTTTTGATTTTAAAATCATAATAAAATATGCCTCTTTACAAATGATGTAAATATAGTGTCAATCACGTAATAATATTTACATCAATTATTTTAAACGATACAAATACTAGCATCACTTATACAAAGTGATTTAAATAATTAACATCATTTTTTATAATTGATACAAAATTAACGTCATTTATTGTAACTGATACAAATATTATGTACAATTACATCAGTTTTAAATAAAATGATATGAATTATTTGCATCAACACTTTCAGAGTCATTTGTTTAAATGATGCAAAAGAATTTTGCATCAATTATAAGTAATACCAAAATTAAAAATAAATGATACAAAATGATCTTTTTTTTTGTAGTGATATCTGGCGATTTATAAGAATTTAGAGAGATATAGTATCCCAATAGTACTTCTAAAAGAGTTTTTAAAAAATTAATGGTAGAAAAACTTGGTGAATATAATTTCAATGTCTCATACCAATAACGCAAAATTATGCGAAATATATAAGATCTATAAACCAATCACAATAGAATCTTTAAACTTAGAAAGAAAAGAAAACAAAAAACATTCTAAGTAGAATAGAGTTCATAAAAGAACATATCTAACTTGAACCATAAACAGAAACTAGCTACCACATTAGGCTACTAGCCATCGTCGCTGTGGAAGTCGAAACTAACACAATCGAGATTTGTCTAGGGTTTTAATTCAGGGATACGACTTGCGAGAATTCTCAAAGAACAACAGAATCAATCGATACCAAAGATGGTGTGCTTGGTATTATTAAGAAAAAGATAGCTTTGATCGTACAAGAGTTTGATCGTAAAAAAAAAAGTGTTTGCGCTTTGAGAGCTTTGTGTAGTCTGAATTCTAGAGCGATATTGCTTGCCCCTCTATGAGAGCCTTGAGTCTCTTTATATAGTGATGATAAACCGCCTCTCCAGCGATATTCTCGGAAGATTTTCATTTATCTTGAAGTCGGCTTAGAATATCGTGGATTAGGATAGTTTCCTTATTCTTCGGGGTTTTCGGAAGTTTTTCTGATTTGAATTGATCCTTCGAGATTTTCCCTTATCATTTCCGGATATATCGGAAATGATCCTTCTTTTTCGGAAATGGTGGCTTGCTTGGAAATGGTACTTCAAGGGTAAATATTTTATCAAGTCTTTGCTTCGGGTGATGATGAAGACTTCGCCTCGGAGAACTTGTGCAATCGGCTCGGGTACCCAGGAAGGGCTGGTTCGGGTACCCCGAGGTGATGGGCTCGGGTACCCCGAGACGACTGGGCTCGGGTACCTCAAGATGACTTGTTCGGGTACCCCGAGGTGATGGGCTCGGGTACCCCGAGACGACAGGGCTCGGGTACCCCAAGATGACTTGTTCGGGTACCCCGAGGTGATGGGCTCGGGTACCCTGAGACGACTGGGCTCGGGTACCCGAGCTGGCAGGACACCCTAAACTGATTAGATGGATAACCCGAGGTGGATGATGCGACGCCCCGAGGTGATCTCTGAAAAGTTTCCCGAGGCGCTCTAAGTCTGGCTCGGCGCCAAAGGATGGAATCCGACCCCAACAGTCGCATGATGTCGTATACACTTATGAATCATATGTCAGTTATGATGAAACATGTCCTCGATCGTATCGTCATGCTATTCCACGTTGAAGACTTTTCTTCAATTAACAGGAGTAATATTTAGACTTGTATAGTATCAGGTTAGGACCATGCAATCAATTAGGTTATGACAAAAGTCAAATATAATGAGCAATTTGTTCCTGTTCTCTATGCCGCTAAATAAATCACCGGGGCCGGACGGGTTTACAGTGGAGTTTTTTATAGCTGCTTGGTTGATACTGGGAAAAGATTTTGTTGTTGCGATTCAGTCTTTCTTTCTAAAAGAGTTTCTTCCTAAGGGAGTAAATACAACGATCCTAGCATTACTACCAAAGAAAGCTGACGCGCGGTCTATGAAGGATTACCGCCCAATCTCCTGCTGCAATGTTATGTATAAATATCAGGAAGAATCGAGAGAGAATTTGTTTGATTGATACATATCTTTGTTTTCCACTATATCTTTTTTCCCATACTTAAATTTAATTAAATGCTTGCATCTAATTATACAAGTTTGACTTCTCTTTTTCTAGGCCTGGGCAATCGGTTTACTCGGATTATTCGGTTCGGTTTGTTCGGTTTTTCATTTTTTCGGTTATTTGAAAAAGCTGCCGAATTGACCCGAATAAAAATTCGGTTCGGGTCGGTTCGGTATTCGGGTTTTTCGGTTCGGTTACATGCCATAAAATTGATTCCGAATTGAACCGAATTTCTTATTTTTTCCGGTTAATTCGGTTAACCGAAAAAAGTTTACAAGCAAATTAACTAATTTACATGCCCAAAACAAATTACAAAGCCCAAATTTTTCGGTAGGTGAGGTTGCAAACTAGACGGTGACAGTAATGTTTTGCCGTTCGATCTTGCCGCCGCATGATGAGACCTGTTTCAAACAACTACAAATACCACAAATACTGAGAATCACAAGTCATCTCTTATATCCTTGCAGTTAACAATAATATAATCCAAATTCTTATGCTAGAAAACTATATTATTCTAACTTCAATTTTCATCACGAGAACAAAGATCCAGAAAGTTTTACTTAACAAAAAGATATCATCTCCCCCACAAAATGTGAGTCAAGTCCTACACAAGCGCATAATTGAGAAATCAAAAAAGAAAGAAGAAGCAATGGAGGAAGAGGTCGTTACCTTACTTAGAAATAGATGCGGCTGCAACTGGAAGAACATTAGGCATAGAGACTAGGGTTTTGGCTTTTATCTAATAGGTTGTGGGCTAATGGGCTCTATAACAATTATTAAGCGAGGCCCAAATAACTTTCCAAACATATATTTTTATTAAATAAGCCCATATTGCACAAACAAAACACATCTAACCCTAGTCCATCGTCTTCTTTAATCATGGCCGACGCTGAAATATCTCATCATCCTCGTTTCCGACGAGATCTTCTTCAGGGGTCATGGAATCATGGAGATGATGGAAGAAAACCGAAGAACCGTTCGGTTATGGCTTGCCGAACCGAACCGAATCAATAACCGAAATCCCTAAGTTTTTTTGCCGATCGGTTCATTGCTCTTCTCAGGCTCGGCACCGAGAACCGAAAAACTCGGTTCTTTCGGTTCGGTTTTCTCGGTTCCTGCCGAATGCCCAGGCCTATCTTTTTCAGATGTTCTCCACTACATAACCCTTAGATCTCTTATATGATATGGGTGCTGTGGTTGTGGCCTTGTGGGCGTCCTTGTCCTAAATTGGACGAACCCTACCACCTTTAAAGAACAATCATTTATTTGAATTATCCTCGTTATAGTGAATGTAGATTTGTAAATGCTCAGTTACATGGATCATTGAAATCTTGATGTGACAGATCCTTATCTACAAACTTTACACGAAAATATGTTAAAATTAAGGAAATAAAATAAAATTAATTGAAAATCTTAGTAATGGTTTAGATTGTACTAATTTCTTGTTGAAAATGTTAAATTGAGAAACCCATTACCCGATTAGTTTATATGTCATTTACTAAAGAACATTTTTTATAAATAACACTAAAATGACTTTTTGTTCTCAAAAATACCACTAGAACTAGATTTTAACCCGCGATACACCGCGGAACCATATTTTATAAAAATTAGTAATTTTTAAAATTTAATGGTTATATAATATATAACCAATTTGTGAATTGTATCATTTTATAAGATATTTATATTTTGTAGATTATAATTGTTGTTAAGTAACGGTATACCACAAGACAATTTTTGTTTTATAAAATTTAATATATCAGGATCATTCGATCTGTCTAATATTGATGGTATTAAAAAAGTAATAAAATGAAGATTAAACCGTATTAAAACAGAGGGTTAATGATGTTTTAAAGTTTTTTTATTCAAACTCGTCCCGTCATATAACTCCGTCCTGCAATAGAACCGTCCCATGTTATTTTAACTTTTTATATATGTTCAAATGTTCTTATATTATAACTTTTTATTGATTTTAAATATATGAATTATAATATTTAAAACTTCTTAAAAACTCGTCACGTTATATAACTTTGTCTACCAATATAACCCGTCTAGTGTTATTGTAACTCTTTATATATGTTTTCATAATGTTATAAACTTCTTATTGATTTTAAATATATGAATTATATTATTTAAAACTTTTTAAAAGTTTAAAATTTAACATTTCTAGTAAAATTAAGCAGTTAAACAAAAAACCTGAATGAAACGGTATATAATTTTAAATTTGGATGCTTATTAAGTTGAGCTTCTTGTTCATTTAGATTTGGATTCATTTTGATTTTATTTATAATATAATTATGAATCAATATCTAAACATTTTAGCCGATATGGGACGTTGAACTCACATCTTTTTCATCAATTGGATAATATATACCTGTTTTAAAAATTTCGAATCCCAATATACGCAGAAAAAAATTGAACTTTTTTTTTAAGTTTAAGTATTATATGACGATTCGAAACAGTTAAAAAATGTTCAAACAAAGATGATAGGAGAATTGTATTTCTAAATCTTAACCAAATCTTCTAAATATCTATATTTTTAAATATGGAATATCTGGTTCATAATTTCCGATATGTTTTGACGAGATCCAATAAAGATATGAACTATCTGGTGTAAAATTTATGAAAAGAAATTTTATCGGGTCGGATACCAAATTTGTCGGATAAAAATTTAACACCCGCTAAAATTGTACTTCAAAATTACTAGTATATATATAATTTTTCCTAAATACTACAAAACCAAAAATAAGCTTTAAACCTTTAAAGTAAATCCTAAACTCTAAAATCAACCCTAAATCCTAAACACAAAATACTAAACCTAAACTTTTAAATTATATATAAGCCCTTTAAATTGTTGTTTTTTTCTTATGAAATGTGTAGCTGATTGATCAACTTATCAAATACATACAAAAGTATTTGCTCCTATGCTTTGAAGGGAGACATAAATAGCACTAATTAAACCCAAGCAAAGAATGAAAAAATAGCACTAATTAAAGAGGGAATAATGTGTCCCCGTTCATTTGCTTCCCGCCCATGAAGGTGATGTCTCAAAACACACCAATGGACTAGTCTGGCCCGTTTATCAACTCAATTTCTTTAACAAAAATTTTTTCATATGAGAAAAAGTACAGTTTCTTTAACCTTTCTCCCATCAATTTGTTGTGGGTAATGGACAACTAGTCTGGCCTTTTGTGGTTCATTGGTGTGGTTTGAACGACAAAAAACAAAGATGATATCTAATAAAAGTACCAAATTAACCAATTTATATTTTAGTGACGGTTTAATATTTTATTAACTAGGTTATGAACCCCCGCGATATCACGGAGGAACTCATTTTCAACAAATATATGTTATTGTGTTTATGTATTAAATTATTATGATAATATATTCAAATATTTGAATTATTACATAAAATTAAATATGTCTTAAAGTTATATCGTAAATATTTTCCAAACACGTTAAAAGAATTTATGAATAAAAATGTAAAATAGAAGAATTATGATTAAAAACACTTTTGAAACATTTTTATGAATACACAATTATTTATAAGTGATAAAATACATAACGAAGAGTTAAAATATAGAGATGAGAAATTCTAACGGATCAAAACCAAAAAGACATAAAAAAAACCAACTGGAAAATAACCATCAACGAAAAAAGTAACCGTTAATATTTTAACGAAGAGTTGCGAAAAGAGACATAACCAAAAGAAGTAATAGTCAATATTTTGATGGAAAGTTACGATAAAAAGACACAACCGAGAAAAAATAACTGTCAATATTTTAACGGAAAGTTGCGATAAAAAGACAAAACCAAAAAAAGTAACTATCAATATTTTAACGAAAAGTTACGATAAAAAGACACCTCCGAAAAAATAACGTCAACGAAAACTGAAACCGTAAATATTTTAACGAAGAGTTGTAATAAATAGACATAACCAGAAAAAATAACCGTCAATATTTTAACGGAAAGTTGCGATAAAAAGAGACAACGTGATATGAGCTTTGGCTAAAAGTCTTGAGCCAAATTAGGGGTGAGTCACTAGCCGGTCTAAGGACCTCTCTAACTAACTCGGATAAGATGGAGATGGAGGATGGATCGATAAGAACCACAATAGATGTGAAAGTCTATTGATACTTCTTAGAACACTCAAGAATTCGGACACACTCACGAATTAGAGAGCAAAAGATTTTGTGAAACACAAACAAGCAATTTTATTAATCCAAGGTGAAAAAATAAGGACTACAACTCAATGCATTATATAACCAGGTTCATAACTTATTCTAAGAGAAAAACACATAAATCCTGCAAGAAAAACAAGGAAAGACATAGCACAAAAATCAAGAAAATAAAGGAAAGAGATGTTGGTAATAAAAGAGAATATTAAGGGTGCCGATTAAGGTAAGTTTGTTCTCTTGACTTTAAAACATGATTCTTCTTTGGTCTTGGAGTCTTCTGGACGAAATGAGAGCCTTCTTAGATGCCTTCTAGCACCAAAGAACACGTGGTTAAGTGGACTTCAAGTTTGGGGGTGAATAAAGCCCATTTGGCCTCATTGTTTATTAGAGAGTCCACCAGACAGACATTTTCTGTTCGGCCCATATCTGGATATTTATAGCTGATCTCTGGAAGCTCTTTGGTTCTCTGGAAAGTAGACTCAGAGAGCTTCAATTTGGTATGTGGCTCGTCTCCTGGATCATCCGGAATCGTTGGTGGTACTTCGTTTAAAACGGCCTTTAGCTGGGAGCTCTCGGATGAAGTTAGGCGAATGGCTTCAAACTGATCTAGAGGGATCAGTCCTTCACGTTCCAGCTGTTCCACGAAGATGTTAAACTTCTTCTCTAGGCCTTTGCTCCTGGTCCTAGTCATTGGGCCGCTTGGTACATAGGGAGCTTGAATAATATGACTTGGTGGTTCGATGTCCTCATCACTCCCTCCCTCTTCATGTGGTTTTGACCCGAAAACGTTTTCTCCTGTATCAAAACGAGCCAGGTCATAAACATTGAAAGTTGTTGAAACTTTGAACTCACTTGGAAGATCTAGCTTGTAGGCATTGTCGTTGATCTTCTCCAAAATTTTGAATGGTCCATCTCCTCGGGGTGAAAGTTTAGAGCTCCTTTGGTTGGGGAATCTCTCTGGTCGCATGTGTAGCCACACTCATTCTCTTACTTCAAAAATAACTTGTTTCCGACCCTTGTTGGCTGCTTTAACTCGTTGCTCATTCGTTTTCTCAAGTCTCTCCTTAACCTTTAAATGGAGCTTCTTGATTTGATCGGCCTTCTTTTCGCCATCTAAGTCTAAGAAGTCTTTTTGTCGAAGTGGTGTGAGATCCAAAGGCGTATTGGGATTGAATCCGTAGACCACCTGAAATGGAGACATTAATGTTGCACTATGGATAGCTCTATTATAAGCAAATTCAACAAAAGGTAAGGCATCAAGCCAATTTTTAAGATTTCTCCCTATTGTTGCTCGTAGAAGTGTTCCAAGCGTGCGGTTGACAACTTCGGTTTGGCCATCAGTTTGCGGGTGGCACGTGGTTGAGAATAGTAGTTTGGTGCCTAATTTCTTCCACAATGTCCTCCAAAAGTGGCCGAGAAATTTGGTGTCTCTATCTGACACAATAGTCCTTGGAATGCCATGTAATCTAACAACTTCTTTAAAGAAGAGATCCGCGGTTTGGGTAGCATCGTTGGTCTTAGCACATGGTATGAAGTGAGCCATCTTGGAAAAACGGTCCACTACGACAAATATTGAGTCCTTGTGCCGGATTTTGGGCAAACCTAGCACAAAATCCATGGAAATATCAACCCAAGGAGAAGTAGGAATCGGTAAGGGAAGATACAAACCGTGGGGTTGGACTCTAGACTTTGCTTTCTTGCAAGTAATACATCTCGCAATGAAAGTCTCCACTGATTTCTTGAGATGAGGCCAAAAGAAATGTTCTTTGAGCATGGCTAAAGTCTTCTCCACGCCAAAGTGACCCATTAATCCTCCTCCATGAGCTTCTCGGACTATAAGGTCCCTTAAAGAGCATTGCGGGATACATAGCCGTTTATCTTTGAAGAGATAGCCATTATGAATGTAGAACGACACGTGACCTCCCTTGCCTGGATTCTTATAGCTCTCTGCAAAGTCAGGATCAGACTCATATAAAGGTATAAT